GTGGTTCTTGCGAAGTCCCTTTTTCTGCTGATGGAGGGCTGACGACCCCACATGAGTTAATGTTAGGGTCACGTGTGTCTCCTTTGTCAGATATCATTGGCTGTTGACTGTTCACGGGTGGTTCTTGCGAAGTCCTTTCTTCTGCTGATGGGGGACTGACGACCTCACATGAGTCAGTGTTAGGGTCATGTGCTTCTCCTTTCTCAGACATGACTGACTGTTCACTGTTGTCTGTGGTTTTGGCTGTGGTGGTTGGGTTTTCAACTGCCAAGGTGCAACTCGAGATAATGTCCATGGCAGATGCTGCCACAGTGGTCAGGTCCTCCCTGAGATAACATATTTTTGCCACCTTGTCAGAGTGGCACATGGCCCCCCTCAGTGTTTCCTTGTCAACATCCAGACCTTCCTTCTTCTTCATGTTGCAAGCTGTCACAATCCATTTCCGGATGTTTGCAGCTGTTACCCTAATATCTGGGCGTATGTTACTCTTCCGCCAGAATTCTGGTAGACGTTTTGAGATGGTTCCAAACTGAAACGAGGTTCCATCGTTTCGAAGAAAAATGGTAGGACCTCTAGGAGCTGGAAACTGATGGTAGATTTCGCGGAGGAAGATGTTAAAGAGACCTTCCACCTTGTTGTCGATGGCCAAAGGAGCTGGACCATCACTTTGCCTCTTGTGTTGAGGCACCAACAGCACTTTGTGACAGGTGTTGGGGTCTGCTTTGGCTTGGGAGTACTCTTGCAGTTTCAGATTCTCCAACGCCCCAGGACAGGTACCTGTCTTCAAGCTTATCATAGTTATCAGATAGTCCCTCGCCTCACATATTTCGTTAACTGTCAACATGTATTTGTCGTTCGCCTTGTCAAAGACCTTCCTGGCATTCACACAAATAGGGGAGGAGAGAAATGCCTTCACATCGTCAGTGGTAAGACGGTATTTACATTCGTCCATTTGACGTTGATTGGTTTCAGCCCTACCCTCTAAATCGACTGTTCGCCTCCAGCCTTTGAGCTTAAGGATTGTATTCATGAAGATCCTCCTTACCTCCGGGTTGACTGGAGGATATTCGGTTACACGCACTCGATCTTCTACAACGAACTGAAGAAACTTCTCGTAAGTTCCTAAGTATCCATTGATGGTCCCAGACTTCAACGACAACAACTTCACATCTACCCAGTCTGTCCACACTATTTGGCCCTCGTCTGCAGATAGGACATCTATCCTGTCCCCACCAGGCTGTAGGTCTTCAAGCATCAGACGGATGTGTGAGGCATGTTGAAGCCATTTACGATCTTTCTTTCGGCCAGCATCGGCCGTGTTCAACCATCAATAAAACAACACTAGCCACTTGTGTTGAGTGGTCTTGGGATTTGCCGAGGTGAAGTACTGCTCTTGAAGTTGATCTTCTTCATAGTCTTCGTCTTCCAAGTCTGAAGAGGGTTCCTCTTGATCTTCCTTTACTTCTTCCACTGACACTTCTGGCTCTTTGTCCACTGGTTGTTGTT